GGGGGGTGGGGGTGAAGCTGAGCCCCCCCCCCAGTGTCCTGCAGAAATGTCAACTCATCCAATCACATGTCAGTCTCAAATGTCACTCATGTGTCAGACCGTTAATAGCTTTAAACTTTCAATCTAAACAGACTGGTACTGGTCCGCAGTGGGACGCTGTCAAAACATGTACTTCATTTTTACAAATGTACTTCATTCAAAGAGGATCCAGTAACATCTACATACTTCCTTCATTGAAGTATAATCTGGAAATACTGTATTCCAAATATTTATAACAGAATAACGTCTAAAAGATGTTTTATTTTGAAATTTTAGTTGATAGGACGTCATTGATCCTGATTCCACTGTTCAATTCTCTTATTGATTATTCTCATTTGGTTCATTTAAATTAAGGTATTAGCATTAACATGGTATTTGTTTGCGACAAAATTAAAACTGCATGAAAAAACAAAACAAAAAACCAATTCCAACAACGATTCCTCTGTCAAAATGAACTGACACTTTTCTGTTCCTGCTGCTGATTCTGTGAAATTTAACAGTAGCCACGTTAGCATTCACTGAGTTTCACTGCTGTCATTTCCAAAAAAAAAAAAAAAACTGCAGACAGAGGGCAGCATCCCTGCAGACGTCATCATTATTGATAGCCTTCTCGTGTAATTCCGCCAGAAACTCTACCGTTGACGTCGAGCTAACGATGATACAGTTGTTGCTGATGATGTGATCACCTCTCTCTCCCTCTTTCTCTCTCTCCCTCTCTCTCTCTCCCTCTCGTTCTCTCGTCTCGTCGTCTCATGTCTTGTCCTCGGGCAGATGTTTGTCTCTGAATTTTCACATTAACCTTCTTTTCTTGTCAACATTTTCAGTTTGGACACTGTCACATAGACAGACAGGTACTAAACACAGTTTAGTTTGACGTGCTGCTTCTGTCGTCCTCCTCTCTGCAGTGTTCTGTACCAAATGCTGTTAATTTACAACGCACTTAACAAAAAAAAAAAAAAACATTTTAACCTAGGAGAATTTGAACAGTGATTTACAAAACAACAACAACAACAACAACAACCCAGTGATTTAAAGAGTGTAAATGTAAAGTGGATCACTCATGGAATCATTGTAAAATAACACGTTGGCATGGAACCGCTGTGTTTGCATCGTCGTGTTCTGTCAGTGTTCCTGTGTTCCATCGTCACACTCCAGTCACCTGTGGTTTGAAATGACATCTGTGTGTGTGTGTGTGTGTGTGTGTGTGTGTGTGTGTGTGCGTGATCTGTGTTGAGTGTGTTTCCGTCACCATGTTTGTTGTGTTTTTTTATAGTTTGACTAATTCACCTGTGTTTACTCTTAGTTTTCTCCTGATTTTTTTCCCCCTGTTTTTAATTTTAAAATGTAAGAAATGCCTTTAGATTAAAGAAAGAAAATAATGAGGATCAAATTAAACAGCCCAAATAGTAAAAGTTAGCAAAAATACAATGACTACATTTGGAAGAAAATAGTTAAAATATATGGGTTTTTTTAAAAAAAAAAGCTAATGAAATATTTACATTGTCTCTAAAATGAGCAAAAAAAAAAAAATCAGCTGTAAGTTAGTGCCGGAAATATATGAAATAATAAGTATAAAGTACAGGCTCAGATTAATGTTAATTAATTAGTGTTTTAACTGGAGCAGGATGTCATAGAGCCCTGGATTTGGCAGATGATTGACAGTTGAATATGAATATATGAATATTTTTTTTCCAGACTTTGTTTTGAACAGACATCAATATTAAAAAAGAGGTAAACCCCCTTACCCCCCCCCCAGCTCCCCCCTCTCATTCTCTGACTTATGGAAGGGGACGGTGTCTGCACTTTTTTATTTAATGGTCCACTTCACAGACAGTGATTATGATGAAAAGTACTCACTTGCAAGTGCAAGGGATAAATATTAATATCTGCTGTCATCAATTTTTAAATGTCAGAGGAAATGAGGTTCATTAATCCTCTCTGTGCAAGAATTCCTCGTTAAAGTAGCGCCGCAGGCGAACGCCCAGGAGTCGGTGTCGTTACTGAGCATGTGTGAAAGTAAAAGTTGACCCAGGTTTCTGAAAGGATGGATACGTTGAAAATACGTTCATATTATTATTAAGTCATGTCATTTACGGTGTACCGGTAAGAAAGATGTACACTCCTCAGCCCAGTAGGTGGCAGTAATGCACTTTAAGCCAACAGTATCACCTCAATGTAAAACATGTCGACATTAGCTGTCGACGCTAGTGCTAACAGACGCTAGTGCTAACAGACGCTAGTGACGCTAGTGCTAACATGCAGTCCTGGTACAGGTGCTGCACTTTAAGCCAACAGTATCACCTCAACGTAAAACATGTCGACATTAGCAGTCGACGCTAGTGCTAACAGATGTGACGTTTGTGCTAACATGCAGTCCTGGTACAGGCGCGAGTGCTAACATTAGCTACAGCAGACTTGTTACAGACATCAGAGCTAACGTTAGCTACAACAGTCCTGGTACAAATGTTTACGTTTCCAAAATGTTTTACTTTTTTTTTTTATTTGGTGACAAGACGATTTGAATTAAATTGTCATGGTTGAAGAAGTTGGTTAACACTTCGACACACACCTTGACATTCAATACATTTTTTAATATATTTTATTTAGTTTGTTTTTCATTATTCATTACTTTTTTTTTTTTTTGCTCCTCTAGGAGGCATTTCCACAGAGCCGTGTTCTCAGAAACTTTCCTCATATTTATTCCCAGTTGGTCATTAATCTGGATGAGGAATAACAAATATCCTTCATTAGTCCTAATTTTACACACTTCAACTTTAAGTAATGACACTTAAAAAAAAACCAACAGGACGCACGGATGCAAAACAAGCTATTTCAAATGTACGTGCAGCTCATGGATTATTTATCAACGCCGCAGCCGTGAATAAGTTTTGCTGCGAGGCTTTTCTAACATTTGAATAGGAAAAATTCACAGGATGAGAATAAATGTCGTCATTAATCGGTGACATTTGAAACTGACGACAGCAGGTGTATGAATGTTTGTGCCCGGTGTTTACCAGGCAGAAATGCTTTCTCCTAATTAGCGAGCAGCGCAGCATTAATGGAGCAGTTAATGAACGAACACAGAAACTGTTGTCGCTCCAAACATAACGCCACAGAGGCAGAGAGGGAAATGGATTCTGGGTAGAATGTTCTAGAGATTTCTAGAGAATGTTGCCCTCTGATAATTCAAGGTTTTTAGCAGCGGCGTTAGTTGACGGTGATCGAGAGTTATTGAAAAATGCAACAAAAAAGACAAATAGAATTAGCAACCAGTCATTATCTACAGTGTGTAGGTGTTCATCATGTAGGCTGCCCCCTGCTGGAGGTTTTTTACAATTTTCTGCTTCTTTGAACTTCCACACAGACACCAACTTCGTGCTGGGAAACGCCCAGATCGTGGACTGGCCCATCGTCTACAGCAACGATGGTTTCTGCAAGCTGTCGGGTTACCACCGGGCAGAGGTGATGCAGAAGAGCAGCACCTGCAGGTAGGAGAGGGAGTTACAGTCTGTCTCTGCTGAAGTATTATCATTCAATTTGATGGAGCTGTTCTTTGATCTGTTGTTCAAAGTTCACCTGACCAAGAAGCAGCAACGCAGAATAAATAATCCAGAATAATTAATCCATAATAAATCATCCAGAATAAATCATCCAGAATAGAAAAGATATACATTAGGTGCAGCATAGAAAATATTATGAAGCCAAATGATAAAGAAAATAAATATAGCAAATCTATTTTTTTTCTCCTTTTTACATCACAGAATTTTTTTGTAGGTCTCTGTAATACCAGTCACGACCACCAGGTGGATGAATGTAATTTATGTCGATTCCAAAAAAAGTCATGCACTTTTATTACAGGCTTTTTGGCTTTATTTTTACATAAAACCTCCAACCGAACGACACAGACACAGTAAATGAACCAAAATGCATTATGGGAAATTTCGCCACCACTACTACAACATGCTACGATTTTGATTTTGAGCAAAAGCCTTTGAGGTAATTCTGGAGAATATTCTGGACCATATTTGTCCTCGTTGTGGATTACAATAAATGCACATTTATGTGAAAATATATGTGAAAATATATGTGAAAATGAAAAGTACATTTTATTTTTGTCGTCATGTGAACAATGTATCCAGTGCGATCGGCAGCTCAGTTAGGCTGTACAGTAACTGGGCCACACTGATGCCCACACCAAGGCACTGGGGAACACTACAGTTATTACAGTTCTTTTGGGGGGGGGGGGGGGGGTGAGGGGGTTATAAATGCTTGTGTCCAATTACGTTATCATCCAATGGTTGACGAGAGACTTGGGTCGACAACTAAAGTGTCAACATCACTGTGGAACTAAGTGGACCAGATGTCAGCGGAATTTATTCTCCTGAGTTCAATAAACGCCGTTCAAATATATGTCCATATATGGAGGTTCCCAAAGTGTTAAATAAAAAAGAAAAGAAAAAGAAGAGTCAATGAAAAATGTCACAAAATAGGTCAAAGTTCAGCACAACAAGATTTGGATCAAATTGAGTAATTTAGGTCAGGGGTGTCGAGCTCATTTTCCCCAGTGGAAGAAGAACTACTTCCTGTTGGACTTCCTGTTGGACTTCCTGTTGGACTTCCTGTTGTGTTTCCTCAGACCACGTCTCCCATCACTGACTGTCTCTCTGGGCCACCTCCGTCTGTGGGTCGTCTTCACTGCCACCGCCGCGTTAATCAGATCACAAACAAACAGTGGCTGCGACCGCAGCTGAGAACTGTGGGAGGTTTTGTTTTTCGCGTTGGGTGAATTAGCTCCCCGCAGGAATC